ATTTGTTATTCTTCATCATGGTGATGAAATTAAATACAAACAGCAAAGGGAAAAGAGAACTTTCAAATTGACAAGGAATAGACAGAAAGAATCAGAACTTTTGAAGCTGATGAGAATATTTGTTACCTTTCACTAGTAGTAATAAACTTGAGCAAAACAAAACCAATAGTCTAAAAGCAGGCACAATGATTGTATAAAATTGATTAGAAGTGAAAATATGAGTTAATTAGCCGAAACAGGTAACATTGGGATTCAGCTTTAACATCTTCGAAAATGGAACCTCTGTCAACTCAACTTTTTCTGTCGCCATAAGATTATCAATCTCTTGTTCATCATTTCACCTTATCCTTTATCGTCTTAATATCATCTCTATTTTCACTTTCCTTTTCCATGGGTATTATTGTTGTTCAATCTTCCAATTGATTGTTTATATAACAAACCTTAAGTCTTAACCAATCTTCATTATCTTGTAATAGTAACTATTTACTTTGATGGATTCGAACTCAACTATTTCTCCAAACTCAATAGAATCCTCTGTTAACAGAAAACACTTTTCCTTTCCCACCCAACAAACTAAATATTATATAATATTTTTCGCTTGCAATTTGCTATATCAGATACTTTTCATTTTCTCTCATTATTATTACATTGGTTTTATTTATCTTTTGTAACCTATTAGTGTATCAATGGAAACGCAGAGATATAAAAGTTTTCTCAATCTTTGAAAACTTTTGCTTCTTCTTGATTGAATTAGTTGGAACTCGATTGGAGCCCAGTTGAAATTAAATGTGATCTCATTCAGTTAATTAACTTTATGGATTTGTGTCTGGTTTTTATTTCAATTGAGATCAGAAATTAAATCAACACGATTTTCATTGATATTCATTAGGTTAACATTGATTAGCGTTTATTGTTAACTCTTTCTGTTTTGTATCTTTTTCTCTGTCTTTTCTGTCTGTCTCTATGTTTACTGATTAATCAAATAACAATTAAGCTCAACAATGTAACCAAAAAGTGATTAGTTGACTTAGAAGAGGAAAATATAATTACAAGTTAGTTGAACATGTATTTATGATGATTTTTACCGATTGAATGTTTCCTAGAATTGTAATTAAACCAACTAAATAAAAAAGATAATTAAGAATCCATTAAATAAGTTGATCTATTTGTCTTAATATCATTTAACCGTAAAATATCAATATAATTGTATGGTCGTTACAATGATTAGAGTTAATTTAATTTCACAAACAAATAAAGGAATTAACTTTTTATGCTGATTAAATTTCAGTGATAAAACCAAAATTGATATTCGAGACATCGTCTTTTCAATATAATTATAACTCTTTAAATAGTTAATTAACATAACGTTCATTGTATTCAAATTCAATTTCTATTAATTCATGTACCGGTAAAGTAAGGACAATCAGCAAAAACATTTGACTTTCTAGTCAAGTGTTGAGACTTCATGTATTTGTCGGGCCACAAATCTGAAGTCTGAATATAATTTTATGTATTTTTTTCTTATCAGTCGTTTGAGAGAAAATTGAGTTCGAAGTTGCTTCGACTTATTAGGACATCTTTTGGTATAAAGAAGATCAAAGGTCACTCTCTCATTACGTTAAAACTGTTGATCAAATGAAAAAGTACTTGATCTATGATGTTAACCCATACGATGATAGTCTCAAAAATAAGCTTCGGATCACTCTTAACACTCTGGACTAACGTGGGTCCATTAATTTAAATAACACTGAACTATAACCAGAGCAGTTTTCATGTTCATTTTATAAAAATTCGGATTTTCTGTACTATATGAAAAGTCATTGATGGAAATAAAATTTCATAGTCAGAAAACTAATTGTTGCTGATAAGACATGACCTGAGGTTTTCACTTCGTTCCCCATTTTTTTAAAAACTTCTTATCGGGTCAGAAACAAATATATCTAGACTTCACATGTGCTGCCATACAAAAACATAAAGTTCGAACTCTTCACTGTTAATACTAATGAAAAGTCTTCAGTTTTAAACCATTTTCACTAGCGGATTTGTTAATCTTTTGATTTTAAGCTCTCGTGATATGATAAGGTGCTTAATCTCATCCCTGATTTCTCAAATTGATTAGTTGATTAGTTGATTTGAAATTCAGTTGAATCTTTAGTTCCCTACAACTTTTCTCCATTTTAAACTAGTTATCTAACCAAACCCCATCCTGAATTGGAACTTTTTCAGAAGGAAAAAATGTTTCTCACTCTGAATGAAAGATTCTGACAAATGATAATAATCTCTCCGTATAACGGCATATCTATGATGATAATTATGATCACTTATCATTATCAAGATAATGAAAATAAGCAATTCGATGGGAATTATGATTCGGTCATATTACAGTGTTTACTCAGTCTTCAAGAATCGAGTATTTCTCGAACAAAAAGTCGAAAAATATTCTCAATGCTATTGATACGCTAGAATGGTTAAACCTCATTGAAACTCATTTCTCAATATCACCAAATTATTATCATTGTTATTATTATGATTACAAACTGTATCTTTACTATGTATTTGTTATTTCGGGCAACATTTGTTACAGTAAATTGATTGGTTAGTTTAAAAGTATCATTAGAATGCGGAGAATCTACTTTAAGTGATAATGGTGAAGAGAATGATATGAGAAATATAAATCATAGAGAAAAATGTCAACATTCTTGTGAGATTTTCTTTCACTATTAATGATAGAATGATGAGAAGTTTGAAAGTCACCGCAATGAATTTCAAGCACCATATGAAATAAAGGTGATGATATTATCATTTTTCGTTAGTATTTGCTTATAGGCATAAGTTGTAAATTTTCATTATTGAATTATCCTGAAAAAAGCATAAATATTGTGCGAAATACTTTATTCCTCCTCAGGGTGTTAAAATGTTGCCAAAGTTATAAAATCTTGAAACTTCCCCCTCCATACTAATAATACAAGAATTTGAATATATTCATTCAATATTAATACAATTTTCTTCATGATTTAGAATCGTTATTTAATTCAATGTATTTTATTATGATTATTCTTTAATAGCTTAATACTTTAATTTGATTTCTTATGCTTGTTTAGACACATTGAAAGATTAACCTTTTGTTTAAACTTCGATTTTAATCATCTATTTACCTGTTTTATGTGTCATATTATAACAGAATTAACTGCTGATCATGATGAATATTCAGTATAATTTATGTATAAAAGACTTTCAACTCTTAATCTTAATCTTACAAAGTTGTTAACATGAATTTGTTATGCTTGTTGACTGCCAAAGTCGAGAAAACTCTATTAAATTGATTTAATTTGTATTACAACAATTTAATTAGATTAATAGCATAGTAGCAACGATTTACAATTCAAATCATTTTCATTTTTCAGAGACCATGTTTTTCATGGGTTTATTGTGTTTACCATTTAGCTCAACAGGTCGTCAATATGATCAATTATAAGATTGAAAAAGTTTCCATCTTGAGAAGAAAGGTTAAAGAATTCTGCGATTAAGTAATAGCAGAACAATTAATAATAATTATTGTGCGAGATAAATCGCTTCTTTTTTATTCCTTGATTTAAATATCAATTCTCACTAATATGCGATAATTGATTAAAAGGTTCTTTCCAAGATACAATCGAGATTTTTGATCAATCCCAGAAACTCACCTGAATATGAACAACTTCGAGATCGAATAGCAAATTAGGAAAATTTTTATTTTCATAATTTACCAAAATAATTATACATTTAACTGAGAACTATCATGAGAGGTTCATGATATAAAACCAGAATTGACTGAGAAAGTTAATGATGTTACAATGATTACTGATACAATTAATGAATAATTGTTACATCTATGCTATAATTTGATTGATTACATTGGAACAATATAATATAATAATTGAGATAATTGGTTAAAAGTTTTTGATTCTCTCTCATCGCAATTGATTCAAAGAGATTCCCGTTAATTCATGGTAACAATGAACAAAAAATGTGTATAAATGATAAATTTATATTCATCATTGTGTGTAGCATTTTATAAATATATTCATTAGATTCATGGGAATTATCATTTGTCTTTGCTCAATAAAATCAACCCAAACTTACCTCAAGTAGTTTTAATCATAATCATTGATGATAATCAAAAGATTCACTGAGGATTCGCAAGTAAAAATGTTATACCTCGAATTGATTGTAATATGTTGTCATTAGTTGATTTGGTTCTGTAATCAATCAATACCCACTGAACCATTGAACCAACAACAAACCATAACAATTGAGTTTTATCCCTTTTCTACAGGGTTTTCATGAGTATTCACCGACTCTGAATATTCAGTTATGATGAATTTAATATTACATTTATACACAAATACAAATAAATATATTTATGTCTCGCTTTTTGTATTTTGTTTATTGATTATGATGAATTAACTTGAAAATATTGACAATCAAGATAATTCACCTTGTGGGTATATTTTATTTCGTCTGTTAACTTGATTAATTAACTTTTTTACCAATTGATAATCAACAGAGAATATGGTGATTTATGAAATGATAATGGTTAACTTTTTCATCATCACGAATCCTTTTCCCACCTCTTTAATGATAATTAAAGGTTCATCGTTGATAAGTTTATCATTTAATACTCTGAGTAAAATTAATTTGTATTAACTGGCAATGATAATTGTTACACTTTATTTCAGCCATGTAATTAATATTTCAGCTTATGTAATCATGGTAATTTTTAACCAAGCTAATTATATTCAATGCAATAGAAACAGTTAGTTCGTTTGATTAGTTAATCAAATGGGTAAATGGTTTGAAGGGGCTTTTCGTCAATCACAACATTATATGTGGAAATTGTTATTATTCAATTGATATGATTTATGTTAGCCAATTAATCACATTGTTTGGAAATTCACAATTTAATTGACATGAATTAACTTGATTAACAAATTATTTCTCTCTTTGGATCTCGCTCGCAGAATCAACCAGTGAATTTGAACCTAAGTCAAAGTTGAGCAAAAACAACAGTAACAATGAAAGCAACAACACCCACCACAGCACCACCATCAATACAAATACCACCACGACTCACAACAATACCAATAACACCACCACCGCCAGCAGTAATAACAGTAATTCGAATCACAAAGAACAAGAAATATCATTTGATAAATTAATACAAACCTCAAGTCAATTCCAGAATATACTTAACACTGTGGGCAACGAGAAACTGTTTACCTTCCTGGTTATGGCTTTCGTACGAGATAATAAAGGTAACATTGAACAATGTTTAGCGAAACTCAAATTAGGTAAGTTACCTCGAGTTTTTTATTCTGTCCTTAGTTTTGCTCGTTTTGAAATCATTCGTTGATTGTTTTCACTGTTTCTCAATTTACGGAAAATTTTTACCGTTAATCTTTATTGCTCATCGAATATAAGTTGGAACATTGGTTACCATTTATTAACCAGGTCTTGCTTTCATTGGTGCATTTACAATAATCATCATCAATCTTTCCTTGAAGATGATCCATTCTGATCATGGTTGTTAACAATTTTAACGAATTGTCAACATTGATTAGTCCAATTACTTGAGTGATAATAAAACCTTGAGAAATACTAATAGTTAATTTGAGGTTAATCATTCTCCAGGATGATATTTTATGTATATTAGTATGGACATAAAGTCTTAAGCTTAATTGGAATAAGAGAAATGATAAATCTCACTCGATTCATTATTTGTCTTTTTAAACTGATTATTTATGCAAAAAATTTTTTCTCTGTCCAATCGCGTAATAAAACAATCGAAAATTGGAACAAAATTAAAAGAAAAGATTCTGAGAAAATAATCTAACATTTAAATGGAAATAATATTTAATCTATCCAACAATATCTTCATTGGACAACTCGTTTTCCATTGCATTAGATCTTGGATGATGATGATAATAAATACATAGTATGTAAGGGAAATAATAACGGTAATGATGATGAGGATGATGATAGTTATTAAGGATAACGATAACATGTGAGCTTATCCAGGATAATAACGTTATTTGCCATTGTCTTCATCCAGAATCAGTCTAATTGAGCAAATTTATTTTGTGTATTAAATTAATCTGTATTGGTCAGTTTACTATCTATTTTTATTAAGATAATATCTTGTCTCGTTTTTTATAATCCTTATCATCATCATCTTATTTATCAATATCCTCCATGAATCCTTATCTTTATCCTTCACTTTCGCATCTGATCAATATCATTTATCATCTTTATCATCGACACTCAGTCTTGAATTTTTATTCTCCTCCTCAGGACATGATGATAAGTTGACGATTTTATCTCCTCCGCATCACCATCCTTCATCCTTGATCATGTTTATATTCACTCTTTAGTATCAATATCGTAAGAACTTTTTTCTGCCTTCTTCTTGAATTAGATTTTCCCCTTTTCATGGTGAACACTTAATAACAAGATAGCAAATTTACATTGATATTATGTTGGATACAAGTTTCATTACTCGTATCATTTCTTGATTCTAATTTATTATTATAAAACAATTTGATTAATCACTCTCTCTTTATTTTCCTCTGTAGCTATCACACTAATTTAATCACAATTAATTTTGACACTTTGTTTGATAACTTTACTGACAGTTAACTAACTAGTTAAACTTTAGTTTTTGATTCAATTGCTTATTCATGTATATTTAAAAAATGGTTAATGTTTCAACAAGATTCAATTCAATTGTCAAATTGTTTCATTTGTTAACACTTGATGATGGTTGCAATTAATGATTTGACACGATTTTAAGTTAATAATATAATTAATTACAATTGAGTTGACCTCAGGTTATCCGACTAAAATTAAACAGTAATGAATAAAGTTGCAATATGATTCAAACTTAAGTGATCAATTTAATTTGCATTTCAAATTGTACAATTCAAACGTAATATTAATTGCATACAATTTGTCCCACGAAAATAATGATTATTTAGTCTAATTGTTGAAATTAATTATTCTACTAACTTGTAATCACCTTTTACATGTGAATTAAATTAACATCTATTGATAAAACTTGTCAAAAACTATTTATCCGTTTCAACGGATTGACAAAGTGATGAGTGTTGATTAATTGATTGTTGCTTTAGTTTTCTTGATTATTTGCCATTCAAACTCTCCCTCGTCCCCTCTGATTTAATTCAAAAGGGTTAACAGAATGATTAACTTAATCATAGACAATTAAACTAATTGTATAAACTTTGATAGATGAATATTATCGCTACCATTTCTTGTATTACTTTGTTTGAACTCGAACTTTTTTCTCGCTTCTCTCCCTTGTACCCAAACACTTATACTACGAGGAATTGAATGATTATAATGATTAATGGTAATGAAAGTTGATTGATAGTTTGTTTATTTGTTAATCAAAATATTTAACAGTAAATTAAATTGCAACAATCAAGAGCTCATAATTTATTAACTTTGTTTGGACTTGATTGTAATTCTCGGTGATGATGATGTTGAACAGACTGAATATAAAAAATAACAACAACTCAGGTAAAAGTTAGAAACCTATAAAAGTTTGATAAAATTATTTCAGACGACCTATAACATTACAAAGATAAAGATGATGATAATCATGAAGTTCATGATGAGTTGAATGATTTGTATTCAAAGGATTGAAACCACAAAAACCTATCAACTAGTTGAATTTGCAACAATTTTCATGGACAAACTTTTACTCTTGTTTCCTCATTCTTAATTTTGTTCAAGTTCCTATTTTCATGATTATAATGGTACTGTTGTTGTATATCATTTAATTCAAATAAAAATCAAAAGTAAAGAATAAAATTTAAAAATTACTCTTGCATCTTGTTTCACCATCAACATGATGTTGATCGTTTTTCACATTCATTTTCTTGTGAACAAAATGATTTATCAATTTACTGTTTACTCAAAAGAAGAGGTTAGATAAGGTTAACATGTAAGAAATGAGATGTAATGATAATTCAGAATAACATGATGATGCTGAGTTACATGGTCATTGAAATTTTCATTCCAATAGTAGGAAATCAACTAGGCGAATGAATTTTGAGAAGCTATTGATTGGTTCTCCGAATTTGAATACATTTTGAATGATTTTTTCTTCATCTCTTTTTCAAACCTCATCTTTATTTCTTCATACATTTTCCTCATGTTTATGACGATGATAATGATGATTGCAAAGAAAAAAAAGATAGAGAGAGAGAGAGAGAGAGAGAGAGAGAGAGAGAGAGAGAGAGAAATTAGTCTCATCTTATGTATAACACGCTAACACAAACATCCTCTTATTGAGGTCGAACTTTCAATTTTTTTCTCTAGTGAACAGTTCTGGATGAATTTTTGGAAAGAGTTCTTAAGATTCAACAGTTTTCTTTTCTTTCAATATTCTGATGGAAATTCCAAGCTCCAAGAAAAAAATGATAACATGGACTTTATATAATCATTATAAAGTCCATTTGGATAAGCGAAGGCAAAAAAAGATTTCTCTTCTTGAGAGAACTGAAATTTTCATGATAATTCGACATTTAATGAGATAGATAAAGTTGCAACATATGCACAGATTTTCGGTCAAAATAAAACTAAAAATAATCCACATTTTGTCAGAAAAGTTCTCATAAAATCTCTGAGTAGGTTTGATATTATTAATAATAATTCATCCACCACCCACTTATCTAGTTACTCAATAAGTAGGATTCAAATTTAATTCATCTTGTGATATTTTAAATCTATCTCATCAATCAATAATATGGTAAAAATGATAATACACTTATAAGAATGTAATCAGAGTCTTTGCATCATGTAAAATGTTATCTAAATGATGATGAGATGAAATATTCATGATGAATCCATTTTGTTATGAAAAAAGATTTTAGATAATCAAAGTTCTGTCTCTTCGTATTGATACATTTTACAATAACAACGAGTAACTGGAACATTCCCTGAACTTTTCAGTCATTTTATTCACAGTTAACGTTAATCAAATTAACCTATTATCAAGTTGATTACATAAATGTTTCAATATGCTGAATGCAGTTCGATGATTAGGATTAAAGAGCAATAAACATAAACAATTCGAACCTTAATGATAATCAAAAACTATACCATGAGGGTACACCTTGAATTCAATTGAGATATTACCGAGTTCGTGCTAATGAGTTGAATAGCTGTTGAACATTTCATGACGGTAAAATAATACAACACCCACTTCAATCATATAATAGCATATGATGATATAAGCTGAGTGATGCTTTTTATCAAATCTCTGTTAGTTTATATCAAAGGTAGTACACCGAAAGGATTATCCTCATTTTCAATCGTTATCCAGCTTTTGCAAAGTTGAGTTATTAAATTTGTTACCTGAAGATTCAAAGCTCTGAAACGTTTCTTTTCATTATGCAATGAACTTGCTCAGGTAACAGTTTCTTTTTCTCAGAATAACTACTGTATTGATTATTGAGAAATGTTCAAGATTAATGAAGGATTAATACTAATTATGCTCAGTGAGTATTGTTTGTTAACAATGATAGGGATATCGATTAACATTGATACATAATGACGGCTTAAAGCCAAGTCTTTAACTCGAACCCACCTCCACTCCCCACTCACTCTCACATCCACAAGACACAAGACACATCACCACCGTAATAATCATTATTTTAATTTAGTGTTAGTCATTGATTACACACGCTAATATACAGCCGAAGACTTTGAGTTTGCAACTAATTTTTAAATAATTCACGCAGTTGAATATAATCAATGAGAGATAAAGTTAAACCAGAGTTATGATAATAAGTTTGTCCACTAATTTGAGTGATGTAGTCTTAAAGTGGTCAAATGATTAGATATCAAAAGTTATCTTTACTTGATTACCATTAACTGTGTGAATGATTTAAAAAGTGGTTGCAAACTTAAAGTCTTTGGCTGTATTTTTGACAAGATTTCAGCAACTCAAATTTAAAAACTGAATCAGAGTTAGTGATTACAATTATCGTGGAAAATAAATTTTTCAGTCACAATAATATTAAAAGAGGAAAAAGGAAGAAAAAGTAGAAAGATGAACAAATTAGAATTGTTTCTCACTCAATGAGATGTAATTTCATGATAAATTAATAGTATTTTATCAATGGAAATGAAAAAATTTAAACACAAAGAAATATTTTTGTTTGCAACAACTGATACATATTAATGATACAAAACGATTCTGATTCCACCAGGATGCCAACAATGAACATTTTTGCTTGGTAATTGATGACTCAAAGCTTAGATAATC